GGGTCAGCCAAGCCAGCCTGAGCCTTCTGCACCGGGGCGTGTACTACGCTCCGCCACGCAGTCTCGTAGTTGCTTCGTTACCTGGGATTCTGTGACAGGCTGCCCACTAGTAGCCTGGCTTGGAGCGGTGTGCATGTTAAGGGTAGCGAGTGTTGCAACGCCGTTCTGTGTCAGAGAAGCGTGTGACCTCAACATGTTCTTTTCGCTTCTGTTTCAAGTTTGGACATGTTGGACAGCTGTAGCAGCAGCAGCCGGTGTTTTGACCTGCTTCAAGTCTCTCGTCTTAGGAGAGAAACATCCATCGATTCATTCGTTCTTTCGGTCATTCCTTCATTCATTCCTTCATCCTACTATGAAGCATCATGAGTGTGAACAAGAGCCGTGCGTGCCAACAATCTAGTGCTCCCAGTGTGAAGCTTCCGAAATCACATATACCATCTCTGGGTGCCGACCCAAGTAAGTGTAAGTTTGTGTGTGTGTGTGTGTGCGTGTGTGTGTGTGTGTCTATGTGTGCCAATGCATCCTCAGGCATTCCGAGATCCCCCGCCCCCTTCCACCCCAGCCTGTGAACCCCAAAAGCCTCCAACACCCTCTCTAAATCCGAGGCACAAAGCAGATCGAGGCCAAGAAGGAGGAGCGTGCAGCCACCAACGAGGAGCCGCCAAACTTCCTGGGAGTGATTTGTGTCTACAGGTCATGTCGCCATCCGTCTTTCTTAGTATTGAACGTCACGTCTGCGGGATTTTCTGAAACTCCGTGTGCTGCAGGGCTATCGTGTAAGAGGCTTCAAGGTGGTCTCGATTTTCCATGTTCTGGCCTCATGCTGAAACGTGGCAAGATTGGAGGACTAGGGCTTCAGGGTTTAATTTAAGGTGCGGCGGTTTTGTGCTTTGTGTGGGTGTGTGCGTTCGGGGAGAGGGCTTGGCGCTTCAGTTGTGTGGACGGTGGATTCGGGGTTCAGGACGAGGAAGGACATTTAGATTGAATGTAGCCTTAGGTGGGCAGATAGTAGATGAGACTAGTGTCTTGTCTTGGCCTCATCGTTGTGGCTGCTTGTACTTTTAGGGCAAGGTGTTGAAACTGCGAAGCTGGGGGGGTGTACAGGACTTACTTAAGATGCTTTGGCTTTTGGAGGTCGGGGACTCGAAAACTGAAGCCTCAACGGTACACACGCAAACCCCCAGTTCCAAACTCCTAAGTCCCAAACCTTCGGCCCTAAATCCATGTCCTAAGGCTCAGTAGTGCACGAAGCCGTATACCTGAAAGAGCGCAGGAGCGCGCCATGAAGAAGTCGCCCGGACGAAAATAAAGGGCTTTCCAAATCAGCAGGCACGAAGTCCCCGAGTGGTCAAGTGTTCGGATTCGCAACAAGGCCTCATGCCAAGTTCTGGGATTCGTGACAAAAGGCTAGCGGCATTCAATACATCTGAGAGAGTAATTAGGCCCGTCCAGTCGGCGTCGTTGTCACCGTCCAGTTCGCGTCGTTCTGAGCAGTAGGCTGTGGCGGTTGATCATGCGCCGCATAGGTTTGGATTGGGAGGGGAGCTTGACGACGCCCTGGTCAGGTGTGTGCCGATACGGGCGGAAAGGCTATAAGAAAAGACCACACCGGAACTCTATAATCTTGACCCTCAACACTTATGTTTGATAACGGCCGTGCCGGTAGTAGTAGTTGTAGCAACAGTAGTAGTAGTAGTAGTAGTAGTAGTAGTAGTAGTAGTAGTAGCAGTAGTAGTAGTAGTAGTAGTAGTAGTAGTAGTAGTAGTAGTAGTAGTAGCAGTAGTAGCACTAGTAGCACTAGTAGCAATAGCAGCAGCAGCGGTAGCGGGAGCAGTAGCAGTAGCGGTAGCAGTAGCAGTCGCAGCAGCAGTAGTAGTAGTAGTAGTAGTAGAGGAGTAGGAGTAGGAGTAGGAGTAGGAGTAGGAGCAGGAGTAGGAGTAGGAGTAGGAGTAGGAGTAGGAGAAGCAGCAGCAGGGGGAGAAGGAGGAGGAGTAGTAGCAGTCGTAGCAGAATTAGTAGCAGTAGGAGGAGTAGTAGTAGGAGGAGTAGTAGGAGGAGTAGTAGTAGTAGAAGAACAAGAAGGAGCAGAGCCAGAAGTAGTCGAGCAGAGGTAGAAGTAAGTAGTAGAAGAAGAAGTAGTCGTAGCAGTAGTAGTGCGCACTGGACCACGAAAACCGCATACGCTGGACCTCGGCCGCGCGAGACTGGTCGAATCTCCAAAGCCGTACGTCCCCCACGCGAGTTCGGGGTTTGGTCGTCTCCAGAACGTGATACAGACAGGATGTTCAAAAAGTTCCAGCCCCAAGTTCTAGCACTTAAACTTTCAAGCCCGGACATCGAAATCTGAAACCTACTTGCCGAGCTCATGTGACCAGGTCGCATCCCAACAAATCTGGACCAAAGACCCAGAACCTCTGCACCCCATGCCCCGCCACGCTGTACATGCATCATCGAAGACTCAGGGTCAAGTCTAAATCTCGCTGCCCTGGGCTCGAAAACAAGAGTAGCATTCAGGGAACTTGAGATCCAAGGCAGGAGATCAAGGACACCGCGGGCGTGCTCGGGTCCGATCTCTCCTTCGTTGGCGAGGTCCTGGGTTCGTTCATGTTTGGGCTTAAGGCAGAGGGCTTAAGGCTCGAGATGCTTCCGATGTTTTTGTATGCGGCTCTAAGCCTGAACTTATGGAACACACTGGTTGCCACGATCCTTCAGCTCAGGCTTTCGGCCCTGGCTTGGCCCCCCAAGGCACCCAGGATTCGAAAGCCTGACTCTATGCCGCAGGAGCCCTTGAGGAACACGAGCTCCGAAGGCCCTGTTATCCCAAACCCCCCAAAAGTATTGAATTGAAACAGGCATCCTAGAATGGAGCCCCACATGAGAATTATTTCCAGCCTCAGCTGCTGCTTCTCAATTGTGGCTCGACTGAGGAATGCCGCAGGGCTGGGAATTGGGGAATTGGATTCCTGGTGAGAAGTAGACAAGCGAGAGAAGCTGATCCTTCATTCAGTCTATAATCTCTCGTTGAACAAGTGCTGAGAAGAATGGGGTGTTTGGTATGTGGAACCACATCCTACAACTTGAGCCGTGTAAGCTTGATTGCTCCATTCCTCCGTCCCTTGATTGAAGCTCTGCAAAGCAATCGCAAGACTGCAAGCATAAGAGGGTGCCCGGTGTCATCGTATCAGTCGGTACCAGGTCAAGAAGCAGTGTGCCGAGATGGATGCGGAGTGGGATGAGCGCCAGAAGACCCGTGGTGAGGCGACTGGCCCGAGCGGCCGAGCGCTGGGAAGGGTTGAAGGGGTTGGGGGCGCAGGCAGGCATACTATAATATACCATAATATAATATACTATAATATAATATATTATACTATACTACAATATACCATGCAGTGCTCTTCGCAGTGCTTCGCAGTGCTTCGCAGCGGGCCACTCGAGACTGAAACTCCAAGCACCAGATGAGATTCTGCCAGGAAGCCGAGGCAATTTCCAAGTCCATTGAGATCTTGGATGCCGACGAGGTGTTCTGGGCCAGGATTTTGTTTGAGCTGCTTCTTTTGGAGCGTTCGGGACGTTACAGGACGAGCAGGGTGGCATCTACCCGACCTCACAGCTGTTAAGCCAAGCATCGAGGCTGAAAGGTGAAGTCCGAAACCCCTCGTCCTAGACAGCGAGAAGCGAGAGCCCCAATGGTTGACTTTCGCTGACTCCCCAAAGACCTGTTGCCTCTCGAAGGCCGCGCTAAGTTTGAAGCCCTGAAGGCACATGCCAACTTCGAGAAGACCTTTGCAACCTCCTTCCTCCAGGACTCGTCTGCTGCCCAAGTCTTTTTGGAAGCGTGGGGTGTGGTGGGCATGCGCAGTCGCCGCACCGAAGAATTACCCTATGCCCTCAACTACTTCACACAGACATCTCAAAGCTTAAATGCCAGAAGAAGATCGTCAGATCTGGGAGGAGTCTGCAGTCAACACTCGAGCAGAGAGGGCTGCAGAGGCCGAGACCTTGGGCCATATTGTCTTCCACAATCCGCCAGGGAAAGCCACAAATTCCATCAGCTCCTCTAAAGGCTTACGGGCTTACTTCTATTTGGCGGAGCGTGGATTGACAGGCTCCCCGGGATAGTTTTCAGACATCCGAAACAGTTGGTTTCAGTCCGACTCGCCGTTGTGGCAACGGCTGTTGCGGCTCAGAGAAGAACAGCTTAACCACGAATTCAGGCATGTAGGCATAACCCTGGAGGCAGATGTTGTTTACAACATGCTGGGTGCATGCTGCAGGTCCTGGCCACTGCCGGCCGCAGGGACCCACGCATGGCAGCCCTCGCCACACAGGTAGCCAGGGGGAACAACAAGACCTGCTGGAATACTACTACTACAGCTGCTGCTGCTACTACTACTACTACTACTACTACTACTACTACTACTACTACTACTACTCTGCTCATCTACCTACTGCTCTACTACTCTACTACTCTACTACTCTACTACTCTACTACTCTACTACTCTACTACTCTACTACTCTACTACTCTACTACTCTACTACTCTACTACTCTACTACTCTACTACTCTACTACTCTACTACTCTACTACTCTACTACTATACTACTCTACTACTCTACTACTCTACTACTCTACTACTCTACTACTCTACTACTCTACTACTCCTACTCCTACTCCTCACTCTACTACTACTCTGCGACTACTCCTCCTTTACTTCTCCTCTGCCTCTCCTCTACTCCTCTACCACTTTACCACTCTACCACTCTACCACTCTACCACTCTACCACTCTACGACTCTACGACTCTACGACTCTACTACTCTACTACTCTCCTACTCTCCTGCTCTCCTACTCTCCTACTCTGCTACTCTGCTACTTTGCTACTGTACTACTCTACTACACTAAAACTCTACTACTCTACTGCTCTACCGCTCTACTGCTCTACTGCTCTACTGCTCTACTGCTCTACTACTCCTCTGCTACTCTACTACTCTACTACTTTACTACTCTACTACTCTACTACCACTACCAGCTCCTGCTCTTGCTCCTGCTGCTGCTCCTGCTGTCCTGCTCCTGCTGTCCTGCTCCTGCTGTCCTGCTCCTGCTCCTGCTCCTGCTCCTGCTCCTGCTCCTGCTGCTGCTCCTGCTCCTGCTCCTGCTCCTGCTCCTGCTCCTGCTCCTGCTCCTGCTCCTGCTCCTGCTGCTGCTGCTGCTGCTACTGCTACTGCTACTGCTACTGCTACTGCTACTGCTACTGCTACTGCTACCACCACTACTACCACCACTACTACTACTACTACTACTACTACTACTACTACTACTACTATTACTACTGCTACTACTACTACTACTACTACTACTACTACTACTACTACTAGTACTGCTACTACTGGTACTGCCCCTGTCGCTGCCGCTGCTCACTGCCGCTGCCGATGCAACTGCTACTGCTACTGCTGCCACTGCTGCTCCTGCTCCTGCTGCTACTAGTACTAGTACTAGTACTAGTACTAGTACTAGTACTAGTATACTAGTACTAGTACTAGTACTAGTACTAGTACTTCAACTTCTATTCCTGTTGTTGTTGCGGGGGCTTTTGAAAACTCTAGGCTCCTTGTAGGTTTAGCTTAACCTGCTCAGATGAAGCTGGACAAGTTTGTGAAGGTGAAGAAGGCCATGGATGACATGGTGCCACTTGGCTAAGAAGCGTCAAGTTGGGCTGTTGATGTCCCGTCCGTTTGAACTGGCTTGGGCATTCGAGCGTCCGGCCTGGCAGACGACAAGTCCCAGGTTCGCCTTGCAAAAGGAGCAGGAGGACGAGGTGACGCAGAAAGACTACTGCTACTCGGGCTCTGACTGAGTGCGTGAGTGCGTGCGTGAGTGAGTAAGCGAGTGAGTGAGCGAGCGTGTGAGGCTGCGAGGCTGTGAGAGTGTGAGGGTGAGTGGGAGTGGGTGAGACTGACCGAGAGAGAGAGGGAGAGAGAGAGAGAGAGAGCGGGAGAGAGAGAGAGAGAGAGAGAGACTCATTAAAACAGGGGGTGGACGGGCGGGCCGAAGGCCTGAGGGTGACAACGGTGACCCCTAAGCCCGGCAGAAAGAAAAGAAAGAGAGAGCGAGCCCGCAACAGTCGGGGGCGCACTAGCGCGCGGGGAAGGGAGCAATCCCTGACCCCGCTACCCTGGCAAAAGAAAGAGGGAGGGAGGGAAAGCAAAGACCAGAGAGACGCCGACAGACCCTGAACAACTAAGCCCCTAAGCCACAAAGGCGTCGAGGAATTCCGTGAGAACAAGCTCAAGACGGAAGGCAAGACCCGCCTTAAAGACACGTTGGTGGCCAAGGACGGCAGGGCCTCCGCTGTGAAATCCTGCGATTAAGTGAATGCATCATAGTGAGCTCTAGCTTTTGGTGTGGTTGTCATTGTTGTGCCTGGTGGTGCTGCTGGGGAGGCATGTTGCTACTTTTGGTGTTGACTTTTGAGTTGTGGTGCTGGTGTCATTTGTGTTTATGCAAATTTTGTGTTAGAGTCGGTTTTGCATAATGGCTGGTTGGCATCCCAGCACGGTCATTACCCGGACAATGACGGGGCTAGCTATGGGATGAACAGTGGCTGTAGAAACGGTAGCAGCAACAGCAAAGCCGATCAATTGAGGCCTCACCAGCCCAGTCTCCAGACTGGCACCCTCACGAAACTTAAATGTAAGTTCATGATGACAGAGAGCAGGAGAATGCCATCGACATCGAAACGCCGAAGACGGAGCAGGACTGAATGTAGAACCTGTAGAGAGCTGTTTGCCGTCTCAGTCTGGGGTTCACGTTGAATAATGGTCTGCAGAAGCAGCACGATGGTCGACAGCCTTGGGACATGGATAGTACGAACTGAGCTTGGACCGGGTCTCCTTTTGACGGGCAGTGATACGACTGTGGGAAATAATCGTTCGTTGGATTTGCGGATCTTCTGGGCGTGGCATGCCTCCGCACAACCACAGACTTGCTACCTGCTACCCCTCTGTCGCAGGAGCATCCCCATCATCAGCGTCCTATACGAAGGCTCCCAAACCCTGAGCAGCCTTAGATTTAACACTCGCAGCCCCAAAGACTTGAGCCCCTAAGCCCCTAAGTCCCCAGACCTCAGACCGCTAAACACCTAAACCCTACAGGCCCCGAACCCCTCTGGGCCCTAAGCTCTGACAAGGAGACCTATGAGTCGGAGGTGGCCGAGATGCAGAAGCAGTTGAAGCTCGCAGGTTCCCGGGCCCAAGTCTTTGGCATTAGAGGGTTTACAGTAGGGTTTATTCGGGTTTATGGGACTTGGGGCTTCGGGTTTAGGGTTCTTAAAACATGCTGTGTTGCGAGTCTATCTTTCTGGACTTGTAGTGACATGGAAAGTATTGGGGGCAGCCTGGACAAGCCTTTCGCATCCTCGGGCGATGGAGTTGGGGTTGATCGAGTTGGGTTGCACCGCCATGACTTCGTATACCGACACAATCGGAGTGGGTGGCGTTGTAAAGGGGCTATGGAAGTCTTGGGTTTCGAGAGTTGGGATTTCGAGACTCCCGAAACGCTCCACCGCCGAACCCCTACACGGTTTAAACCCCCGCACATGACCGGTCTGTAGCCGTCGAGCCGAGCGAAAAATTCTCCGAAAGAGTCCCTCTTTTGGGTGTTTATGGTTTTGGAGGGTTTTTTCGATTCTTGACATGACAGCACTTGCCCCTAGGTTCGCCCCAACCTCCCGCACTCACCGCGCTCTCGGGGTAACCTTGAACAGGAGGCTGACGTTTGATATGCAGAAAACGAGGGGGTTTTATTCTGAATGAGCGTACACTTGACGACATGGATGCATTGCTGGAACTGTTCCATCGTATCGTGCAGTTGTGCAGTCGACCTTCGGAAACCTGAGCCCCGCACAAAAGCCCTCACCCCAAAGCCTAAGCCGAACACTCAACCGATAAACCAAAGCCCTGAACCCTAAACTCCTCCCTGAAACCGGAGCCCTGTACCCTGAACTCGCAAGCCTCCAGCCTCAGTGCGACATGCGAGGCCAAAACCGGGAGAAGGAGAACACGCAGTTTCAGAAGGCAGGTGTTAGGGCTCTCGCTTCAGGCGTATAGAGGTCGGGGACTCGATGAAGGAGCTGTATACCAGGTACTTGCACTCCCCGCAAGCCCAGATGCCTCAACCCGGCATGCAGCTCTGTCGATAGTGGCAGCTTCAGTGGGGAGCAGACTGGCAATCTTGGAACCATGAGCCCTTCTGTATCCTTGCAGGCGGTATAGTTGAGCGCGCCAGGTCATCACGGAGCAGCGTGAAACGCAGAGGCTCCTCAAGGAGCCGCGAGGGTCCCTTCCGTGGGTCTTCAGAAACTTCAGAGTTTATGGCTTGGGTCCGGGGCTTCATCAGATGTTGGTGTAGGGGGTTCGATTAATTTCAGCTGTGCGGTTTCGAGATAAGGCGATTTCGGTCGAGGCTTTGCAGAACACGAGAAGAGGGTTGAATTACAGACGACAGGTCAGCATTGGTTGAAGCCTCGGACCAAGATGGGAGTTGCGCGACAAGTTTGATTTCTCTTTCAGTTCCACCTTCCTGCTGGACAGCATGATAGTCATCCCACTAGAATGCAAAGCCGAACACCGGGAGATGGACAGGTGGCTATTCAGTTTGAGGAACCCATGCTTAGGGAGCCGAGCGAGAGCGAGTGGCTTCCTACATAGGAGGACCGGTATATCTGTAAAGCCTCAAAAGTGTGCACGACAAGGTGTTAACTGCGCAGAGCAGTAGCTGCTTTACAAGCTTGAACCTTACCTCACAAAAGCGATGAACTTGCATTCGAGAGCTGTCGGCAGGAGGCGCTCGTGGTGCTTGGAAAGTTCTACAACAAGGAGTCCCTCATCCAGGTCCATGCCGAGGCCATCAGGAAGTGAGTTCTGTGGTTGTGGTTCGGATTCTGTCCGTTGGCGGCTGCTACAACGTCTCGGCCGGATGCGTCGGTTTCTACCGGAGCCCTCAAACGCCAACCCAACCCGAAACGCTGAAATGCAGTTGCCCACAATCCCAATCCCTAAACACCGCTAAGCCTCACACCCTAAAGCGTCCCAAAGCCCTACACTCCTGAAGTGTAACAATACCCCTTCTCCTGACTCTGATCCCAGAGAGGCTGGTCCGGAGACCCCGGGCGGCTTCGAGGATTACAAAAGCAACGGCAAGAGCTGCTGGGCTGCAATCTGCGGGGTGTTGAGGGGTTCAGGGCGGTATTGGATGCTTTTGTGATCACGTGTCCGGTCTGGTTTTTCGGGCAAAGGCTTCGGCGTCATGACGATGCTCCAGACGCTCATTGAAGATTCGGCAGCCATGGAGAAGGAGGCCATCCGGGCTGACTCTTGGGCGGCACCAGGCAGTGGTCCGTTTCGCGAGAAGGCAACACGCGGCTTTCTGAGGAGAAGAGCGCACAGAAGGCCTACGAGGGCTTCGCTGCCGACACCACGGACTCTGTTGCGAAGAAGGAGCGGCCGTTTAGCTTTTGAGGTGCAGGATTTAAGATGTAATTTGGTTTGGCTTTGGAGATGGTGCGTTTCGGGCGACCGTCGATATTGGCAGTTTGTGGTTGTAGCGTGTGTGTGTGTGTGTGTGCATATTGAAGGTTGAGGTTTCCAAGATCATGGTTGACTCCTGCTTAGAACCCTGCACTGTGGTGTGCCTACAATTGGGTCAGGTCCTGCTTAGGGATTTTTATGTCATCACTGTCATTGAGATTTAGGCTTTCAAGCAGGTCGTGTATTCAGGAACGAGAGTCAACTGCGGTTGGGTCACTTTTCGGCCTTTGCAACTGTACCCGTGTAGTTGCTGCCTGCTTGACATCTTATCGCTTGCTCTATACTAACTTGTTGCCACAAAATTGTCGTGCCTGCTTCGTGTTTCCATCTTGCTATATTTTGGTTGCTGGATGCTTCTGTATCTTGTTAGCTCCCGCGACACCCAAAAATGCTGGCCTTTCCCCTGCCCCTGCCAGGAGGCAGCTATTGCCAGCAAGAAGGCTGAGAAGGCCGGGGGCACACCCGTAACTTTCAAAATGCATGCCTGCAGTCAGAAAAGTGAGTGGTGCAGACCGCAAAGAGCGCTCGTTTCCGAAATCCCTGAGTCCGAGGCCCGTATAAAGGGGGAAGGTCATCCCGATGCCCACAGTCAATAGGAGCAAGGCGTATTCGTCGAGACGAAGGAAGCGATGCTAACGGTAGTGACGGTGATCCGGTGATGGAAACAGTGACAACGGACATCTCGTCGCTAGAATTCGGGCCCAGAGGGCGCTGTGCTGCTTTGCATTCTTGAACCGGTGTAGGTAGGCAAGCGAGGCACGATTTTCAGAAAAGCAATTGTAGCACCTGCCCGAAAATATTGTAAGTTGGACAAGATTTCATTGCGCCTGTAGTATCGTTTTTGTAATGACCGTCGTCATCATCATCATCATCAACATCAACATCATCATCGACATCATCATCTTATTCGACGTCGTCTTCGTCGTCTTCGTCAGCATCATCATCGTCTTCTTCAGCATCATCGTCATCTTCACCCCTCGTCATTATCATCATCATCGTCATCACCATCATCGTCGCAATAGCTTGGCCATGAACACATAATTGCACGTTAGGTTGCGCATGTTCTAGATCCCATTGTTTTGATGCATGCTCGCACAAGCCATCAACACTTGTGACAGCACGCCTTATACCAGAAAAATCATAGCATCCTTGTGCACTGTGTTGTATAAAAGTGGCGAAACGGTTGTGCATACCAGTGCTTTGGGCATGCATGGTATGCTCGCTCGATGCATGAACTCTTGGGACAATTGCCCCCGCCCCTTCCCACCGCCACCCTCAACCTCATGGAAGCATCCGACATCCCCTTGAAATGCATCAAAGCCAGGCAAGTAACACGGCACCCTGCACCTGCTACCAACTGCCGGTAGCGACCGTCTCCCATGCCCCTTTCGATTCAGCAGGCGCCTACACTAGTTGCGCATGCCAAGCATAGACCGGCAAGGCCAAGCTGAAGAAGACCCTGACCCAGACTCGCAAGGCTTCATGGCCTCGAGGTTTGGGGGAGGTTCATGTTTTGGGTTTAAGGGCTGAGTTGCTGTGGATACAGAGCGGCTTCGGGCGACTCGTTGCTACTTCCTGAAGCGTGCATGAAGGACCTCGTATGCTGTGGTCTTTCAAGATTTAAGGGGAGTTTCAAGGGCGCCGCAACGACTTGCCGGAGCAAATCTCAAGGATTTGTGCAGTTCTGGGGTACTCGCTGGGTTACAGTTCAAGTTACAGATTCTGGGTTCAAGGCTCAGCAGTCCCGGTCTCGTGTTGAAGGTGTGGGGTTCCTGGTGTCGGGCAAGATGCCACATTCCGCTAGCTGTGGAACCGCCTCACGTAAGCCTTCCAAGAACCTATCGAAGGTAAAACATAGGTGCAGTCACAGTTTTGAGGACCACACACTCGCTAAACCCGCAAGGAAGGCGGGCAAATGGCCTTCCCATCTGAGGCCCGCAAGGGGGCGGAGAAGTCCTTAGACAGCCTTGCGCAGACGAAGCTCGGGCAACACTTTGTGTTGACCGTGCCTGTAAGTTTGCTGTTATCATTTTGCTGCTCCGGTGTTAGTAGTGATGATGTCGAGAATGACGGGGATGGAGGGAGGAGAAGCAGGAGGAGGATGTTCACTGTTGCTTTTTGAAGCAGCTGTGCGGTCACAACCAAGCAAGACGACCCCGATGAATGGCAGCATCGGTTGGAAGCCACGAGTCATTCTTCTGGCACCGAGCCGATATCAAGATCCAAACAAAAAGATCGAACACTTGGCCTCACCCGAGCTTCGTACATAAATAATGTGTTTGAAATCTCTCATCCTGCATGCGTTCAATATCAAGCTCGTACAAGAGCTGCAGGGTCTACTCCGCAAGGGATACAAAAACAGTTCGCCAATGTTGATATAGTGCTGATGCTGGTTGTCGAACTTGGTGGGGAGGTATGACGTGGCTACCCTTGTTGCAGGCTCTTTAAGGTCTATTCACATATCATATTACTCATTATCCACAAGGCGACGCAATTCCAGAGAGTCCCTCAAGTGCAAACTCCCGGGAGATTGGGGCTTTTTGCCGGATCTGGAGTCCAGCTTAAAGCCTCTGTCCATCATCTCCATTGTTGCAGGACTTTGGGTTTGGGTTGCAGCTTGGGACCGGTTGCGGAGCTGTGCCGCAGCTGTTGTCTTGGATTTCGCTATCTTTCCGAGCTTCTGGAACTCGAGGACCCTGCCCTAAGGGGCAACCCTGGACTCTGTAGCCGCTGTAGCCTAGACTCTAGACTATAGTGACTATAGACCCGACGCATCTCGAGGCATCCCGAGGCATCCTCAAGCCGCCCAGGAAGGCAGAGCTCCGCGAGAGCTGCGACTTTCTGCTGGCGAACTTCGATGCCCGCCAGGCAGCGCGCGAGGACGAGATGGACTCGGCCACTGGGCGGAAGCTCTAGAGATTTGCGGTTCAGGGTTCCGAAGTGAGCCTGCAAATCGGTGTGGTGGAGCTGAGGGTTGCCGGCCTCTCTCTGCAAGAGGTGGAGAGGCTGTCAAGGCGATGAATATCCGTTGCAGGCTTCACGCATAAGAAGGGTGAGGCTGCCGAATCCCTTGTCTATGCTTCCTGTATCTTCGGCGGTAGAAATTCGAATCTGGTTCATCCCAGAGATCCGAAGCAGAATGCTAGCAACAACAGCAGCGCTGTGGCTATGATTCTTAAAAGCGTCCGTCGCAGCAGCAGCAGCAGCAGCCGCTGTAGGAGGCAGCAGCTGAAGCAGCAGTAGGAGTAGTAGGAAGACGAGAACTAGGATAAGGATATGACTGGGACTAGTGCGAGTACCGGTGCGAGCACGAGTCACCAGCACCATTTCGAGCACTAGCAGCTCCGACTCCTCACTCTTCCATCTTAATCGTCTCCCTTAAACTCATCATGTCGTCTGATCGGATCAGAGCTCGAAACGACGGTGCCTGCAGCTCCTGGAGCCCAAGCCCAAGAATGGAACTGTAGAACTCATCGGTGGAGCCAAGAACAAATCGCATTTCGCCGGCATCACGCAAGGAAGTATCCATGCTCTCGAGTTCCGAAGCCCTGCCAGTCCAAGCCCAAAGTAGCAAACCTTTTGGCTGAGGTCAAGAAGGCCAAGGCTATCCTCTCCGGAGCCACTTTCGCCGAGATCCAGCTTGACTGAGGGCATCGGCTCTTCCAGGACGTCCACGACCCTTGAGCCTCATCAGACTTCCGCCCGAGTTCCCCTTCGTCCAGAGGCCTCTATTGCCCCGTCCGTGTTTCTACGAGGGGGCGCCGACCCAGCGCAACAAAAGGGTGCAGAGTGGCCGCTGTCTTGGATTGCGGAGTTCTGCCCCACAAGGGGTGCTCCTGACCCGGACCTGAAATCTCTAAAGCCGAAACTGCAGTCCAAGATACTGACACACGCCCGGGGATGATACCGACCAAGTCTGCCGAAATCCTCGTCCTTGGTTTGCGAACGTTCTCCCATGGATGATACCGTAACTCCCCAAGGCAAAGTTCGTTCACCTTCCCTCAATCCGAAAGGCTCAGGGCACATACTGTTTTTACAGATTCTTCAGACCTCTCTGTTTAAAGCGAGCGCGGCGAAGGCGGACAGCAGAAGTACACGGGCGCCCGCGCTCCCGACTTCACACAGGTCTGTCTGCTTGTGTTTTCCACGAGCAAAGGAGTCGTTTTGCGCAAAGCCGGGAGTGAAGGGTTCACACTTTTGAGCTGCTTCCTCAAAGCAAATTTAGCTTACGGCTTCGCAGAGTCAAGCTTCGGAGCATCTCCTTTCTCCGGGTGCCGATATCTCGTGGTTAGAACCAGAAGACGCATGTTCACCATCATCGCAGAGATCCGTGAAAGTTTACGTGCGACTGTCCTGCACTGACACCTCGGTCCTCCCACTTTGCCCTGTGTGGAATCCAATGAAGTTGTCACTGCCCTGGCTGCGCAGTTGGTAACTCGGGCTTTTCGGAGCGAAAGTCAGGATTCGGGGTTAGAGGTCACCCAAACAACTCAGTTCCGAACCCCCAATGGGGCCGATTGAACAAGCGAAGACCCGAACAACGAGTCGGATTAGGTATGGACATGAGGGTTGATCTGAAGCTACATACAAGAGTAGAAGACGGTCTTAGCATAAAAAAACGGCAGCACGTCGGCTGAGGGCCACAAATATCCGAAAATGTCATTGCTACCGTATGAGCTTGAAGTACTAATTGAGGAGACTGATGCCTTTCTCGAGTATCCAGGCCCCGGCGCCGGGCCACAGCCGATGCAGAACAACTTCGTTGTGTCTGCAGGCGCATCGCTTTACTACAGGGTCTCGAATAGGGTCGGCATGCGGTTAGTATCGGGATATTACGGCGACGACTATCGCCATTTCTACTTCAGCATGATGCTGCTGATGACGATGGTGATGATGGCGATGATGGTGATGACGGTGATGATGATGGTGCTGGTGATGGTGATAATGGATGCGCGTGTTGGAGTTTGGGGTTCAGCTGTTCTGCGTTTGGCTCTCCGGAGCTTTCAAGCACATCTAAGGTGCTGCAAGGTGTCGGAACGTGAGATTCATGTTGGAGACGTTGAGTTTTCATGTTTAAGGTGCATTGTCTTGGGGACGGAACCCGTGTTTTGGTTTGTGGTAGTTGTTTATGTTGTGTGTGTTTTGCTGTCTTTGCACGTAGTGAACACTGGCCGCGGCACGACAGCAAACAAAAACACAAACCCGCAGCGACAGCTAAGACAACCACACGCGCCCCAGGGACGACAGCAAAAAAGCAACGACAGCAAACAAGAGAAGCGACCTTACGAGACAGGGATGACATCCTTCTGCAGGACCCTGTAGGCCCTGCATCCGTATCAGCCCTCCTAAACTGTAAGACTCAACCTCGCATGCTACTAGGCCCATGCCCTATGATTCCAGAATCGGATATGTAACTCTACACGCCGTAACCTTGAAAGACAACCAGGATTCACAGCAGGTTTGGTTACCGTCGTTCCTTCGACACCCAGGCCTAGGTCGTCCATGGGTCGAGGTGGCAATGGAGCCTAAGACACAGCCCTGTCAGCAGATAGCTGTACTCCCGAGCTCTTCAGGCCCCAAGCCCTTCGAACCTGCAAACCTGCGAAATCTAAGCTCAGAGCATGCGACCTGAGAAGGGGCTGAAAGTTCCCAAACCCGCAGTCGAGGTGAAAAATTCGTGGTCTCTCGAATTCCTTCGCACATCTGCAAACCTTAGTCTAGCCATGCCTGGCATGAGGTTCTTGGAACTCTGTAGCTATTCCTGACACCTCTGGACACAAAGAGGACGCAAGGGCAATTTCGCCTGGGCCGCCCAGCGTTTGAGCCGTGCGGCGGCTCTGGCAGCCCGGCACTGGCAAAACCCGAAGGCCCATCAGAGAGGGCCGGCTTTGGGGTTTAGGTCTCTTTCGGTCACTTCGTGCGGCATTCGTCTTTGAATGACTGCTACAATATGTGTGTTGAGGACTAAGGTCACTGTTCTACTGCCGTGGATTGCATCGCCTACATCTTATGTCTTTCGTGTTCGTGAGCTGGTATGCCAGCTTCCGTTCCCAGTTGCGCAATTGCCGTGGTCCTAGCCCCGGAGTTGCTTTGCCTCTGTTATCCTTCTTCTTGTGACTTGAAGTTTTTTGTGGGTTTTACTCAGGAGTGGGTTTGAAGTTTCCGAGCAGAGCTTCAGGCCGGTAAAGCTGCCAGAGTGTGGTGTTGCAGGGCTCCTAGCAAGGAGGTGCGCGTTACTTAGCGCTATGGATTTGGGACTCGGTATTGGGGTGCAATTGATGTGGCGGAGCTGACGCCCGCAATGCGGCGAGAAGCGAGTGACCATGCCGAGGCCTGCATGATGCAGATGCATCGTCCCTCTGCTGTGTAGAATCACTCGCTGCATGGCCCGTACGTGCGTCCCTCGCGAGGCCTATCGGGAGGGGCTGAGTGGTAACCGTGACCCGGAGGACGTGGGCATTCGCTGCATCAAAGCCTTCAGGTTTCAAGGCAGCCAGGCTGTTCAGAATTGATATGGAATATGGAATGTCACAGGTTGCGTCTGTTTTGGCTTATTGCGAGGTTTGCTACAGTTCGAGGATTTGATGGATGACTCCACTTGGGGCTGCGCAACTACAGAGCCTCCCAGCTGCCCCAACACCTACGATGAAAGCGAAGAAGTCACCAATGAATTGTTTCAGTTCCTCCGAGCCTTCTGGTCTGTTCCCAAGCTCCACACATCCTTGCGGCATGTTCAACAAACTTGGTAGCAACTTGTTGAACCCTTTCCAGCCCTGTCATTCGGTTCCCTTGAGCTCGAACACTAAAGCTGTGGCACACAGAGGCATGGCTAACTCGTTAGGAGCGCCTTTTTTCCTGTGGTCGCTGAATCTCAGCACGGCAGAGCTACGCTAGACACCCACAGTTCGAGCGATGCGGCAACCAGACCCTATGCACGCAGGTTACTGCTGCATGGTTACTGAATGCCCCGCTTTTTGGAACTCTCTGTTTCTACACTCGAGGACCTCCGCGACGAGGAGGTCCAGATTCAAGTGCTAGGCGCCATGGGAGGTGCGCTGGTCTTTGGGATGGCATCAAGTTGGCCTCAGCAAGACCTGCAAACTTCGTCTCAAGCACTGTGCGACTACCAGCTTCCAGAAGAATAGAGGGTGTCAGGATTCACAGCTCCTTTTGTGACGGCATTCACTGTGTTAGACTCGAGGTGCCGTGTTTGAATGTGTTCAAGTCATCCGGCTTGAAAGGACCCGGGGCTCGGGGCTCTTTCAATCTGGACAATCTTGATTCTTCGGTCTCAGGCGGCTGGAGTCGTGTGACTCATCTATTCCCGAACCTCCTGCAAGAGCCATGACCAACGACGATGACGACAACCATCACCACCACCACCGCCACCGCCGCCGCCGCCGCCACCACCACCACCACCACCACCACCACCACCACCACCACCACCACCACCACCACCACCACCACCACCACCACCACCACCACCACCACCACCACCACCACGACAACGACAACAGCCACTGTTCGACGACCATGCTCTCTGATACAGCTACGACGACGATGACGAATCATCCGAACATTCAGATTTTTTTGTCATCGGCATCGCCACCATCGCCAGTATGATCCCGTCGCTCCTGTCACCAGGAACCTGACAAGCTGAAATCCAACTAACCAGAACTTCTGCACCCTGAGACTACCTCCTCCTGTCCTGAAATCGTATGCCTCGATCTCTGAAAGCTAGCAGCTAGCTGAGACAGGCCATAGCTTGGAGCATTCGCTCCGCCAGACCGCCGTTATGAACTCCGAGGCGGATGCCAGCGGTCTCGGTATGTCGTGTCGTTTAATGTGAGGGCATTTGAGGGCATTTGAGGGCCTCGTGGTGTGCCCTTCGGCCCGAAGGCCGACTTTCAGGAGAC